AAGGGCAAAGGAAATAAAGGTTTAATTGAGTATGATTCACACAGCATTTCCTAGCAAACTCAAGCATGAATTTTAGCAATATGCTAGCGAGACATTCAAAGGTGACCGATAATCAGTATGTAATGATAATGATGATGATGTTGATTAATAACACAGCAGAATGGTAAGAAAGAAACCGCCTTCTAAAAACCACAGGAATGATTGCCTATAGAATTAGAGAAACATTTTCCATACAGTTCTGTGAAGTTTTCCTTGGCAAAAATTTAAATTCAGAGAAAAGTATTTCAAAGAAGAAATAGAAAAGTCCAGAGAGGAATGAAAAGGTAATAGAAATAGAAGGGGCATGAGCATAGAGAAACAGAAGGGAACCAGGTTCAGTAATAGTAAACGTGACCAACAACACAACTATATGAACAGTGGCAGGTTTGACAATATCACTCAAAATGAAATTGGAAAAAAAAAGGACATGAAAAGATTACAGCAAAGTGCTGGATACCGAAGAAAAATAAAAGAGAACAAAGAAATACAATCTCACTGATATTTCTGAGGGAAGGAATGGAGCAGAAATGATTTCAATAGTAAAAGGCATCCACTTCTTCATCAGTCTCCTCATGCTAAAAGCCCAACTCAGCACAAGCAGGAGTAACTGCAGAATTCAGTGGAAACTGACAGCACATTCGACAACAAAGCCCAATCTTGAGAAAGACGCTAAGCATGAAATGAGGAAGGGTTTCTATGGGTACAAAGTAAACAAATTAAATCACAGATCCAGGAAAGTATGACTGTCTTTGTCTTTCTTCACAACAACGTTCAAATGTCAAAATAAAGGGAAGGAATGCGGGCAAACTTCTGAGGCAACCAAGTGTTGATAGTTGTCTTTGCAAAGTCAAGTCTGAAGGCATCAGATCTTCAAAATGAGAGTACTTACATGATACGGGTACAGGAATTCTTGGGAAAAAAATGAATCCAATGGATCAAGACCTGATTTAAAAATAAACATAACTAGTTTATTAAATGGTTTGAACTTTATATGCACAAACATAAAATCTATTTCCCCCTTACATTCTCCAACACAGTCTACATGCTTTTCCAGAAAAGCCTTCTTCTTGAAAATTTTAAATTACATATTGTCTTGATCCTACCACTTTCTCAGCAATTTCAAATATCTAAAATCCAGTGACATTCCCATCCTATATGTGTCAGCTCTCTACTTGCTGTAGTGAAATGCCCAAGAAGAGCAACTTATAAAGAGGAAAAGTTTATTCAAATTCACTTTTGTAAGTTCCAGTCTGTTACTGGGTGTCCAGAACCATTGCTTTAGCCTTCTCCTAAGTGGAGAATGTCATATTAGAAGGGTGTGGCATAGCATAAATATCTACTTCATGGTGGGGCAGTGAAAGAGAGGAAGGTGAGGGGGCTGAGATCCCACAGTCCCCTTAGAAGGTATACTCCCAATGACTTGAATCTCCCACCAAGCCCTACTTCTTGAAGATTCATGTCCCAGTAGAACAAATTTGGGGACTAAGCTTTGACACATAGCCTTTGGATAAGGCCCATTTTAACCCTCACTTTCTTCCCCTCCCCCTAATAAGCTTGGAACCCTATGCCCAAAATTCTTCTCCTTTCCTCTCCATTTTCTCTTAGATTCCCTTTTCGAGGCATAGTGAAAAGGAGAGAAGGAAAAATGGGGAAATTTCTACTTAGATGGTACAACTGGATAACTGTGGTACAACTGGATAACTGTGGACAGAAGCTTCTGTCCCACCCAGTCTGGTCCCACAGCTGTTCAGTCCCAAATAAACACACAGAGGCTTATGTTAATTATAAACTGTTTGGCCTATTGCTCAGGCATATTACTAACAAGCTGTTACAACTTAAATTAACCCGTAATTCTTACCTGTGTTTAGCCACGTGGCTTGGTACCCTTACTCAGCAAGGCATTCTTGTCTTGCTTCCTCTGCATCTGGGTGGCAATGACTACATCTCTGCCTTTCAGCTTCCTAGAATTCTCCTAGTCTGGTCTCCCTGCCTATACTTCCTGCCTGGCTATTAAACCAATACGAGTGACAAATCTTTACAGTGTACAAGAGCATTATCCCACAGTAGATAACCTTGTGGTTGCTATAGTCTCTGGTTCATTCTGTATGATTTCAGGGAAATGTTAGCATACTCAACAGATTTATGTGTGAATTCTTTTGGCATCCCTCAAAGTTCTTCTTCTGTCCAGAGGATAAGTGATGCTCTGGTAATTTCTTTTTCCTAACTCTGATCATTGACTCCAGTGACCATTCTGAAGTCTTCTAGAATATTGTTGTTGCTGAAATCTTCTTGCTTGGAAGCAGCGTGTCCCTTGAACTATAAGTTATCACACACTGGCTACCCTATGGGTACTTGACTTTGTGTGAGACCAGAATGTACGTCCCTAAAATGTGAAGGATTTTCTTAGCCTAAAGCAGTTAAGGAGCAGCAGAGGACTGGTTCTTCTGTTCGCCCCCTTTCCACCCAAGACAAGCTATAAATTCCCCTTTACTGAAGACAATCCTCACTAGCTCAGTGGTGGCACCTGAGGGATCTACAAACAAACCTTACTCCATTTGTTTTTTCCCAAACATTTGTCTTCTTGTAGATTCTTGCCTTTGGAAGCTGAAACTGCTTTCCTTTGTCTTGTCATTTCTCTGGAAATTTATTACTGTTTGTTGAAGCTGCTGTAAAAGCCAGAGTTTTCAGTCACCGCCTTGAGTGCCTTTCATGAATCCTTCTCCCATGTGATATGACTGCACACATAAATAGACATGCTTGGTTTTTCTCCCGCTGATCTGTCTTGTATTACAGAAGTTTGTCCCAGCTACGGATTTATGAAGATTGAGGAGAAATCATATTTCTTCTTCCCGTGAGGAAATTCATACATCTTATCATTGACATATCTGGAATATGGGTTGTTCTACTATCTCCTGAACTCTCTTGTTTTCTTTTATAGACCTCTTAATTTCAACCTCAGTTAGACCCAGGGCACAATCTCAGCTACACCAGGTAGTATCTTTAGCAACAAGGTGTCAATATGCTGTTGTAAAAACTTCAACTGTGTAGTCAAAAATGACATCGCAATCTATTGCCTGTTTTCTGCCCTTCATTCTATTTTCCAAAGTCTGAATGATTCTTAATTAGTGATGGTTTTTACCCTATTTCTCTCCAGGGAACGATTGGCTATATATGGTTTTCACACCGAGGGAAGTGTGTTCTACCGGTGCCTAGTGAGTTGAGGTCATGATTGCTGCTAAAAAAAACAAAACAAAACAAACAAAAAAACCCCAAACTTTACAATGGGATTAACATCCTCCACAAAAGGACTCTGAAAATTAAAGTGAAAAAATCAGAAAAAGCACCTGAACAAATCAGACGTCAGATTGTCTATAGTTTAGCAGAAATTCCTGAAAAGAAACCTGTTGTTGATTCTTCATATATTCTGCAGACTGAGTGTGCCCATGGACACAAATTGATTCCTGTCTAAGGTACTTTCTTGGTCATGAGAAGACTATTAGTGTCAAGCAGTTCAGAAGAACCTGATTGAAGTTTGGAAGTTTAATTCCTCCCCACTTTTGAATATATATATAAATGTGTGTGTGTATACATATATAGATATTCACTTTATCTAACTGGATGTTCAGTTAGTTACTGATGAGAGCTCACATATGAGCAAACACAAATTCTTTGGTTAATCTCCAGTTGTCTGCTTTCAGGTTCCTTACCATTCATCCATTGGAATTTCTGTGGACAGAGAAAGTTTTTTCTTCCCCACACTTCCAATACACTCACAGCAAAGAGGCACATTTTAAGTATTAAAATATGCCAACTGATAATAAAATCATCTTAGTAAAAAACAAAGGCAATTACATTGATTTGAGGCCTAATTAGGATTGCAATCTGGGGAAACGCAGATTTCAATAGATGGGAAAAGGTATTCTGTGCTTTTAGAAAATGGTAGCTATATGCATAGCTTTAAACTGCCAAGGGCTTTGGCTATTACATCATTTGTTAGTCAGGAGTTAAGATTGGTGCTGGCAAAAGTTAATTTGTGTTTTAATAAGAGATTGGGCCAGTTGATGGTGGCACACACCTTTAATCTCAGCACTCAGGAGGCAGAGACAGGTCGATCTCTGTGAGTTTGAGGCCATCCTGGTATACAGAGTGATTTACAGGACAGTTAGGGCTGTCACATAAAGAAACTCTGTCTCAAAAAACCAGAGACAGAAGAGAGAGAGACAGACAGAGACAGAGAGAGAGAAAAGGAGACAGAGAGACAGAGAGAGAGAAAGGGGGAGAGAGGGGGGGGGGAGAGAGTTTGCAGTCTCAGCAGCTGGACAGTTTTGGGGAGTGGTCTATTACATGGAATGCCATCATAGATTTACAGCATGATGTTTCAGAAGACCCAGACCAAATCTCATATGTCAGTTGGCCTTAGCGGAGTTCAAAGGCTCAGTTGGGAATGTTTCTGAGATCTGATTTAGCAAGGCCTCTCCATTCCATTTTAGCACTCTGAATCCACGACTCCATTTTTATTTTCTTCTTTGACAATCTGTTTGTTGGGGAGAGCAATTTTTCTGCAGTTCAGTAATTTATCAACATTATTATAAGATTTTTATTGTTCTTAGAGTAAAATAATGTAAAACAGAAATGCTTAAGAACTCATAGGCCTTCAGATCCTTGTTTTATAGATGTTTTTTGCTTTTATCTGTATATGTATGTGTAAGTGTGTGGGAATGGTGCTCAGAGAATAACAAATGATGGATATTTGCGGGTAGTTGAATTTGGAGTGATTTTCTTCCTATTATTTGCCCCTGCTCCCGGCACTACTTAAAGCCTACTTTTTGTAATGATGAACATAATGTTTATAAAAGCGATGCATTTGTTCCTTGCTAAGAGAAAAGCAACTGCAGCAACAACCTTTTCAACGGCTCTTTCTACACAGTTCAGGAGAAAATTCTAGCTTATTTCCTCTGTTCCTTTGTCTGTATAAAAATAAAAACGACACAAATACCAGCAACCAGCTTCAACAATATACATGTCCCCATGGTTTGGAAATGTCTTGGAGGCTACCAGCAGTCACCTTCCTGGGCTGTGGGGGCAAGTCGCTTCGACATCAGTCTTTTTATTCTTGTTTCCCTTCATCTTCCGGAGTGGAAACACACCAGAAGATAACGCCTCTGCGTGTTCCTTCTCCAATCTCACGCTATTCAGGTGAGGGTCTGTTTGTGTCCCAGGAATTGTCTCATTTTCTGCTTCATTTTGCCAGCACTGATCTGTCATTTGCACACACAATGTAGCCGCGGAGGGTGGGGGCGGGGGCTGGAAGCCGCCTTTTCCTCCACAGAAAGAGCTCTTTCATCTGCACATCTCTTATTTGCACAAAAGTTGCAAAAAAAATTATATTATGCCTACCAATTTTCTGCGAATAATTTCGACTGAGTGCATGAAACAATGGCTCTTTCCTACTCCTAAAAGCAGTGAAAGAGGGAAAAAAAAGTAACTAAGACGATCTCCCTTCTTTATGGGCTCCAAAGCAGAGCCTGTGTGCTCTATTTGGAGAATGCAAATGCCTCCAGCAGCCTTTCTTTCGCTATCTCTCAGCAAGCGGCCATTCAGACTTAATTGCTCCTCACAGCGTAGTCCAATTAAGAATGGGCATCAGCGGGGTAAGGGCTATTTGTTAATCCATAAAAGGTATGAGAGGCAGGACTTGTTTTGCCTGCGGTTTTTATTCATATGTTTGGGTGAAAATCTAAACAGCTGGAACTCCCCGTAAGTGATATGCGTGTGTATTTATTCTTTTGGTTGTGAGCAAGATAAGTGTATGAATGTATTTTATGAAAAAAAAAAAGAAAAAGAAAGAAAGAAAAATCCAAACCAAAAGACCCAAACCCAAAAAACATTCAAACTTTTCTTCCAGTACAAAGGAAAATGCTGTCAAGACGTTGCCGAAAGCTACCCTTGCATGAAGCTTGAAATCGTGGGGGTGGGCGGGGGTGGGTCAGAGCACGCTGAGAGGGGGAGCCTCTGAACCGAGGGTGTTTTTGCAGTGTGAAGATGGCTTTCGTTCCTTGGGGAGCAATTTCTTTATCAAAGTGCCAAACTCGATGAGAACATGTCATTACCGGCTGTTGTTGTTTAGCATTTTTTTCAGACAGTTTTGACTTTTTGAAAACTTACTTTCTGTACATCATTAGGGCGTGAGCAGGAGAGCTGCCACCCTACACCGGAGACAAACTCAAGTGACAATTGAGGCGCGTGGGTGTGGAGCTGGGGCTCTTGTGACTTACAGGCAAACAGGAAGAAAAATAGACACCACGTAGCTCAGAACAGTCCCACTTGGTTTTTTGTAGGAGGAAGAACCTGGGGTCAGCCCCTCTAAGGGACAGGCCTTCCTACAGCTCTAGGGGCCTTGCTCTTCAGAGGAGAAGGTCAAAGAAGGCCCTGTTTTAGCTACTGGTGAAATCCCAGGAGAGCATGCCAACCAGGAAAGCCAGACTCAAGTAGGGGCAGACTTTTGGGAAGTGAGGAAAAAAAATGTTTGACTCTCAGGGCGGCAAAGATTTTTAATCACTGCCATAGATTTCTTTGCTTTCTCGGAGTAAGGCAAGACTAGGTGCCGAATGTCTGTCAGGTTTGAAGACAGGCAGAGCTGTCCGTTCCTGCTTCACCCCCCAGTGCGCCTCTTTCCTAACCTCCAGTTTCCTGGGGGATTCTGCTCCACTCGCGGTACCGTGTCTGTCTTTCTCGTCACATTCTTGTCTACACTTAGCAAAGGGGGACAAATCTGGCCCATTACCTAAATTACCTAAGTCACCGGGCTGTTTGTGGTTAATCAACCTGGTGTAGACTAGAACTTTGGGTTTTGTTGGTAGTGTTTTTTTTTTCTTTTTTGGCAAAATGAAAATCACTGTCCCCGCTCCTTTCTCCTCTCCTCTCCTCTCCTCTCCTCTCCTCTCCTCTCCTCTCCTCTCCTCTCCTCTCCTCTCCTCTCCTCTCCCTCTCCTCTCCTCTCCTCTCCTCTCCTCTCCTCTCCTCTCCTCTCCTCCCCTCCCCTCCCTCCCCTCCCTCCCCTCCCCTCCCCTCCCTCCCCTCCCCTCCCCTCCCCTCCCCTCCCCCTCCCCTCCTCCCCTCCCCTCCCCCCTCAATCCTATTGTAGATCTTTAACCAAAACTCTGTCGAGTAAGACCTTTGTTAATTTCAGGACTCTCCTTACCATCAAATGAGAGATCCTCTGCCGGAAAATGCAGCAGCCACCACCTCTAGGTCTGTGCCCATGCTGGCTGCTGGCTTCGGGTAATGATATTTACCCGGCTCATTGAAATGTCACACTTAGGACTGAGCCCTATAAATTATTATTGTGCTCCTGTTATATTGTACAGATAAAGGTCAGATCAAAGCTCAGATTTATTCATACCCACGATGCATTTCTGGGGGTTGGTAGAAAAACTGTAGGGTCTTTTAATTTTAGAGCAAGAAACTTGCCTTAAAAAAAATGAAATAAAAGAAACAATGACAGAATCAGTAGCTCTTGGTTTAGATAAAATTAAAGGAGAGATTGACTCACCTAAAGGTCTAGAAACATCATCTGCAGTTTTGCGGTCCTTTCTTGACATCCCTTTGATAATGCTCGGATAAGACAAAGGTCAGAGGCAAATTCATGAAGATTGGAGGAATCGCTGTGCACTGATCGTGTAGTCACTAAGGTAATCAATCCTCTTGTCTCAGGACCAGGGAGGCCCTCCTGTTCCCTACAGGAAGTCCCAGTGATTGGAAAGCTTGTCTCACAGAGCTGAGAGTCTTGGTGTACAGGTAATCAAAGCACATGGCTTCTCACACTGAACTACAAATTTCCACAGGCAAGATTGCTCAGTGATGCTAGTTGGCAGCACTCAAGCTAAGGAGGCAGAGAGATCAAGAAGGGGGAGCCCTGAAGGACACCATGCAGGGATCGAGGTGGACTGGAGATCCAGGCTGCGAGCTTTACAGCCTTGTATGCCTGTGTGTTTGCTGTGCCAGCTCCTGGAATGAACCACAGGCTGAGTGTTGTCAGCTGTCAGAGTAACAACTCTCACCAGCGCTTCATAGAGAGTTCCAAATCATGTACATCAAGTGGTTTTCTTCCATAAAATTTGGCTTTTGTGCTTTGAAAGAATCTACCAGGATCACCCCCTATTTTTCTCGCTCACCTATCCTCCTTTCAAGGATTATCTCCACATGGAGAGTGACTTTTGAAGGGTTTAGTCCTTTTGAGCTATTTGAGCAAGAACTGCTGGATAATCCACTTGCCTCCCTCATCTCCGTGATTCATCCCTCTTTCTCTTTCTTCACTTCTCACTCGTATCTCAGTGCTTTCACCTCAGCATTTCCCTTTATCCAGGTTCTTACAGTGTTTTCATTCTTATTAGCTCATTCATAAAAATTATCACTAAAAAGATTATGCCCACTCTGTGCCAGCACTGCCCTGGACATGGTAGGGAAGGGATAGTCACATTGGACAATATTTGACTTGCTAATCTTTGTCATTTTACAAAAGCAAAAAGGAAAAGAATGACCAAAATGCAATGATAATAGTACCAGACAAATTGAGGAACAACAAATACATGCTTATTCCATATCACTACATCCATAATAGAATTTTTCCTTAGTCACTTTCATGTTCATTTTAAAACTCCCTGCTCAGTCTTCCTAACATTTACAGAAAAAAAAGGGAGAGAAAATCATCTATTTCTATGCAAATTCCCCCTTCCTTATGTTTCAACCATTTTAAGAACATCATTGTGTTTGAACATACTAATTGTTTCTGCTAACAGGTTCTCTGAATGGAACACGCTGTCTAAAGAGGAAACATCAACTATAGGAAATATAGATAGCTCACCGCTGACAGAAAGTCAAGAGTAGGCATCTAGATTTGCCTCTTTTCTCTCCTGGTATGGCTTCCTTCTCCTTCCCCCCTCCCCTCTGTATATTCTATTTTCCTATAGGGTTAAGGTCTTTGAGCCACCAGTGAATATACAGATACAGTCCTTTTCAAGACGTACAAACAAGGAGGCGGAGCCAGGGCAACACCCTCATGTTTTTACACTGGACCATGATGCTTTGTTTCTAGCCATCTTTTTTTCTATGCTGCCAAAAAACATTTCCTCCTTGGGAGAGGCGTGTTTGAGTTGTTTCGGCAGCACTCTAGAACTTGGGATATTTATAGTTGAGTGACCAAAACAAATCAAGATCCTTGCTCCTCTTGGGTCTTCAATTCTAGTGAGTGAAAACAAGCAAACAAACAATCAAAAACAATAAACAATGAATCAGATAAAATGGTTGGTTTCTTTGAGTTAGCTGATGAAAAGATTAGTTTAACAGGAATCAAGAGAAAGGCAAGAAAAGAAGTTTTCAAGGAGGGGTTGTCATTTTAAAGCAAATGTCACAAAGTTCTCAGAGAGGGTGACACTGCAGAGACACCTTCCTCATCTAGACCCAACAAAGGTGGACAGAAATGTCAAGAGCGCAGGAGCACTGTCTGCCTTGCGGTGATAAGCTTCTCATAGAGCCTGAGGATCACCCCTGATTGGTGGGATGAGCTGCTAAGAGAGGGGAAGGGCTGGCACTTCTCTCTATTTTCTTCTCCAGGAGAAAATATCCAAGTAGAGGCGAGTTATGCCGAAAAAGAAAGATTACAGACTCTAGAACATTCCATGAGAGATGAATACTCAGTTTCTCAGTTCAGCTCAAATTCAGCCCCTTTGCTTGACAGCTCTTTTCTGGGCCACTCTATAAAACCAGGTGCTGAATTTAAAGGTACCTGTGCAAAAGCATCTTGCCATTCCATGGAGCACTGTCTATTTACTTGAGGCTTGGGTCTTGGGTCTCTGTGTATGTGAGTAGAATTATCCTACCTTGTTAATGAAAGGTACTCTAATTATGGGCAGAATTGCCCAACTTGTTTTATTTAATGTAGATAATTGTTTATGGTTGTGTCCTTCTTTGTATATTCGGTTATGTTAAAAATCAGTTTATGATTTTTCCAAATCATGAAGCAACAATTCGTTATTGTGATATCTAGATAAAGGCTCTTAAAACTATTTGGTCGTCCGTAGCATTTCTAATGGAGACTGACTATTTAATTCCGTTCTTTGAGGGAACTTAGAGTCTGATAAGTAACATGTCCGATTTGATTATGGGAAAGCAAACCATGAATGTGTCCCCAAAGAATA